AAAGTTAAAATAGATAATTTGTGTGTGTTTAAAAGGAGTAGGAGATTGATTATTATAATGAGTTATAATTACATTCTAAGTATAGTTTTTGCATTAAAAATTTAGGCTATTTTGAAAACGAAATTTTACTGTAATTGAACCCAAATTGCTTAATATTAAACCTTCATTCCTCGTGTTTCTGTGAAAGCATGTGGCCAGTTGTTGCTGCATGAAAAATATGAAGCATCTTTCTAAGTGAGGTGGGCATCAGTTTTGTACCCCTCCAAGGAATAAGAAGGCCACAGAAATGTAAGATGCGTGAGGAAAATCCAAGTGGAGAAAACCTTTGAGCTTGACTTATAAGAGTGTCGTAAGTGACGTCAGAGGGTAGGTGTTCAGACTAATATTCTTCTCCATCATACTTAGAAACATCTTGAATTTTAAAAGTAAATTGTTTCATCAACCGCATATTAAGGTAATAAGATATAGTGGCTTTTGAAAAGCTTTTTTAAAGAGAATGTGTAAACTCAGTTTTAATAAAACAAAATTGTGTTAAAAAAAAAAAAATAAGATGCTGCATCTTAGAATCTAGTTCTACCAAATGAGATCTTTGCCCTTTTGTTGCTGTGGGCACAAAACAGACTGCTTGGGAAAAAGTGCCCACCCCCCACTTGCTTTCACAATCCAGAGATGTTGTCTTCAGAAGGCAGGTGCCTCAAGCAACCACACAGGGAAGTATCCTCCCTGTTAAATGCGGTATCTCCCTGAGGCAGAGCTCCAAAAAATGTGGTAACCAGAACCCAAGTGCAGTTGAAACCAGGTAAATCCAATCCCTTCATCTCTCATCCTTTTCCCCCTTATTTTTTCTTCACAGTCTGAAGGAAAACGGAAGTCTGGTCCGAGACAGTCACTGCCCAAGTTTGCTCTTTGTCACTCTGCAGAGTTTCACCCTCCCCCAAGTATTTTCAGGACAATTTCTACTCCTCACCGGCTTTTCAAACCTCCCCCTCCAAATTCCTACAGCCAACAGGTTGCTGGGAACCAAAGTTCTACTTTTTGCAAATAGTTACAGAGGGAGAAAGAATGGGGGAGAGAGACGGAAGAAAGAAGTGGAGAAGGGAGAGAGAAGGCAAGCAAGAAAGGAAGGAAAGGGAAATTAGAAACTGCAGCTGATCCTACTCTCAGCCTCCCGCTCTCACCTGGGACCGGGCTGGACTGCAGCTTCCTATCTTCTGTAATAATAAGGAAGTGAGCCAAGTGACTCTTCCAGGTCATTTGAGGCGATTCTCAGTGCAATGTATGGCCATGTGCGTAGGGACTGAGTTTTACTATCTTTACTTTTGAACTTTTTTGCAACACAACAGAGGAAATGAAACTATTATTCTCCGTGTAACTTTCCAATTCATGTGAACCTGCATGAATCTTAATTTCAAATTAAGTTGAACATTTTACACACACCCCTTACCCTATTATGCTGGGGTTCTATCACAAAAAGGAATAAAATTCCCCCCCAATGACAAAAATATGACAAAATAGGCTTACTCATTGATGACACTTCAACCTGCTGGAATATATTTTGTGTGTATAAAACTTCTGAAGGGACTTCCAACTCCTGTTGCTGAAACAGTTATATTGCAACACACCACAGTCCAGTCCCAATCCACCAAACATAAAATTGCTCTGACTTCAGAAAGGGAGGAAGCACAAAACACCACAGCACCCTCGTTCTTCCATCTCCGAGCCAGAAAGGCCTCATCCCTGTCTCTAACACTAGGACTCCATGAAAGTAGTTCTGAAGGTTTCACGGAGTTCCATTCTTAAAACTGTAAATCCGCAGTAGATGGAGAGGGATAAGTGGAGCGAATAATAACAGAGGGCCTCGTTGGAGGGAAAGATGGGAACCAATGGCCTCACTTGGAGTACTGAGGATGCACATGGCTTGGAGTACTGAGGATGCACAGGGCCTGGAGTACTGAGGATGCACAGGGCTTGGAGTACTGAGGATGCACATGGCTTTGAGTACTGAGGATGCACAGGGCTTTGAGTACTGAGGATGCACAGGGCTTTTGGGAGGATGGCATGTTTTGCTCATGGTGTACAGAGGTAAGTGACCTCTGACAGAAAACAACCCAGGGCTAAATGATTTCATCCCCACTCTCATCTTCATGTACAATTCAGTGTGAAATGGACAAGAACCAAGAAAAGATCTCATTATAAAGGATTATCTGCTAGCCAGAACTCACTGCAATCAGATCAACAAGGTATTGTTTCTAGAGGCCTCTGAGCACCAGGGATGGTTTTATTAAACAGAACTTCTCTTTATAATAGGATTTTACCTGGCTGTACTGCTGAGACTAGCAATTTGGAAAGAAAAGACCTTCCTTAGAAAAACACCTTAAATATAAACGTTCAAATGCAAAAAAAAAAAAAAAAAAAAAACAAGGAGAAGGGCTGACCTATTATTGGAAGAGACAGTTGTACCTGAATGAGACTAGTGTGATTTTGTTTAAAAACCATCCTGCTGAAGTACTGCTTCACAGAAGGGTATGATTGGGCTTTGTTTGATCTGGCACTTCCATTCTTTTTCAAAATAGGATACTGTGTTAAAGACACAGGCATAGCGGTTTACAAGGTTACTGTGGCCGTCAGAATGTCTAAGGACATTGTATGAAATTGCTTTTTGCTGCTGGACCAGTTTTTACTTCTACAACTTGTTGTGTTCTCAAGAATTTTAAAAACCGCACTGCAAAAGAGTTTAGAAATGTAGCTGGCCATAATCTAATCTATAATTCAACTACTAAAGGAATCGATTTGCTTCTTTAATAAAATGAATAACGAGACAACAGTTCCAAATATGTAAATTATCTAATAGGATGAACACATTTTTTCTACTAATTAGGTAAATCTGGAACAGAACAAGGACTCTGACTAGATACTCTCAGGGCAGTTTAATGCAGTATCTGAGCTTA